GTAATAGCGCTGACCACAGAAGAACTGCAACGAAATTTCGGAGTTTAGAAGCTCATCCCCTTTTCTAAGAGAACGTTATTTGCTAGTAGGGCGGTTTTTTGTGAAAGTCGTAAAATCTAAAAAGTCAAATTTTTATTGCATCTTAGGGCTTAATTTTTCTCTTTTTTATCTCTGCAAAGAGTCACCGGTGTTATTTTATGCATCGGAGTTGACCTGATCTTTTTGCAACAATTTCATTGGTTCAAGCGAATAAGTGTGAAGTGGATGACGATTTTAGAGTGTTTTGATGTGAAACCAGGAAAATAAAAAATGGCACTTTTTAACGTATTTTGTGCTGTAGTAGTTGCACGAAACATATATTTTCACGGTCCCGTGCGTGCGTATGTTAGTGTATGTGCGTCTGTGCGTTTGTGTGTGTCTCCATCTCCAAATGCGTTTTGTCTCGCTTTTCATCTGAAGAATTAGAAAAGCTAGGAGGCTGAATTTTGGGATACTGTACGTCTACGTGTGATCCATATATTTCACATTCAGCTTCCATGTACCCTTGCGTCTCGCATGCAGTCACGTGAAAGTTTTGGTGTGAAAGCTCCGCTGTTTCATGAATCAGGAAAGTCAGGGAGCTGAAATTTTAGATTATTTGCTCAAGCGCGTTGTCTAAGGTTTTAATAGTTTCCACGTACGGGCACGTAAGTGTTTTGGCGAGAAATTTCCAACTTCGGGACCAGATAAGACAGAAAGCTGAAATTTCAAAGTTGTATTTTTTGCCCATGCGTGATTCCGAAAGTTTTAAATTCAGCTTTCATGTACGTCAATTTGGCCGACATATCAAGCAGTAAAGTAGTGAACATTTTTAACAAAAAGTTAAACAGTGAATTAACAACAGGCGTCCGCTGGATACAGTATCACAACGCCCCTGGTGATAAACAGCGAAAGTCTGTCGAAATTAGTACGTGCAGAGGAGATGACAGTGCTAATAATGCTAGTTATGCATTTGTTAGTGCACAACTAGCATTATTAGCACCGCCATCTCCTCTGCACATGCATTTATTGTTTATAAGTCACAGATTATTTGTGTGAACTGTCAAGCTGAATTGAGGGAAT